ACTGTAGTAATAAATAGTACTGTATGTACCATGGTTTGGAAGTAAATTGATTTGATAACATTTAACTGTGGAGTCCTTTATGTTCTCTGACCTTGGTTGTTTTCTTCCAGACATTTCGTTACCCAACTAAAAAACAGCCAGACTCAGACAACACAAAGTACTCCATAGTTCAACGGTGAGCTACATGTGTTCTCTTTTCTTGATAACCTTTAAAGTAAAGCCTCTGTTCAAATGAATTTTTACTCCTGACCAGACATTTTTACAAGTGGAATTCCTTGGATATTTCAAGCTCTTTCTTACTGATTTGCATTCTGAGGATTATTCTTTTTAAAGCTGTTTTCATATCTTGATTTCTCAATGTGTAGATCATTGGGTTGAGCATTGGAGTAACTACACTGTATATTACAGCTATTATTTTGTTCAGGTCAGAAGATGAACGGGTGGTGGGACTTACATACATAAAAATAACAGTTCCATAATACAAAGAAACAATGGTCAGATGAGAGGCACAAGTGGAGAAAGCCTTGCGACGCCCGTGTGAAGATGGTATTTTCAATATGGTTACAGCAATGTAGATATAGGAGATGATGGTGCATAGGAAAGTGCTCAGAATCACCATTGAAGAAAGCAAGAAGATAATCTGCTGTATCAATGATGTATCAATACAAGCCAGCTTTAATAATGGTGGAATATCACAAAAGAAATGATTGATTATGTTTGGTCCACAAAACGGTAAGTTTATTAACATAAGAGCGGCTACCAAAGGGGACAGGCAACCACTTATCCAGCAAACAATCACAAAAATAACACATATGCTTTTATTCATGATTATTGGATATCTGAGTGGGTAGCATATAGCCACGTACCGGTCATAGGCCATCACTGCAAGGAGGAAACATTCAGCTGACCCAAGGAAGAAGAAAAAGTAAGACTGTGAAATACAGCCTACCAAGGAAATTGTGTGCATGTTCATCAAAAGTATGGAAAGCAATTTAGGAAC